GGATCGCCGTCAGGAGCGGCTTAGGGGTCGCTCCGCCAAAAGCGACCCGGATCAGCCAGCGATCGACGCGCCGCGTAGGGCACCTCCGCTTGAATTTACCGCGAACACACGACGGACGAAGGAGCGACTACATACCAGCTGGCAACCCATGAGTGGGCATCCGACAGCGACACTGGTAGCGACTATACACTCGATCATGCCACACGCATATATCCACTCCTACGCACGACACCGCTCCCTGGGGTATGCGGTCCAGTGTCCACGTACGGGCGCCAGCGGCTGCTATTTACTCGGCCAGCCCAGAGGCGGTTGCGTCGCATATGCATCACCTTCTTGCCTGCGCATGACATGCCCAGCAAGGCGCGGACGAGGGATATCTTGTGCATATATGTTCATACGCTCTGGCCAACTGAGCAGATTTCACACTCAACCTGATATCCACCTCTCATGATATCAGGACGCCATTCAATTTGGAAGGAGGATCTCACCGCCGTGACAGACTGGCGTCGTGGGTGGACGCATCTTGTTGGGACGCCACGAAGGCATGGTGGAAGCGCGATGGGAAGACGCTTGGGTCGGAGCAGGCAAGATTTTCGCATCTCTTACATATTGTACGCGACATCGCTCTCAACCTTTTGACATTGTAGGTTATATTTCTAACTCGTACGACACCCCGAGGGCTGCATCCGACGCTTCGAATGCGGGATGGGACGCCAGGCCACGACCTCTACCTCTGTGGCAGACGCCGAGAATGACTCGTTTCTCTGAATCGCTACGAGCTCGAACCTGGGCCCGCACGGCATCTTGCGCAATCCATGTGCATCGTTCTCGCCACCCCCACCTCCACTGAAATTCACTATATAATATGCATCTGCCAGCGGTATGATATCCCTCGACACCCCGCCTGCGCATCCCAGACACGCCTGAAAGTGCATACAACGAGTGTCTATCCAATCCTCGCGACGCAATGTGCATATATGCACGATACTGTACGACTGACGACGGTTGATTACGACGGTTGATCAACACCGCCAACGGCTCTGCGGATGCTCTGACATATTTACACTTCCAACTGAAAACCTCCACCCTCGTTGTCAATGACCGGTGCACGATATTTCGCCTACATCATGGGCATCAGTCTCGTCCCACCAACTACCATTTAAATTCGCCACACACGCGTGTCACCGGTCTGATATTTTTCCAGTGGCCCTCTTGAGCAGCCCAGACACGCGCGATAGCGCGTACAACGAGTCTGCGCAACGCCATGCGCATATATATGCATGTCAATATGCGACGACGGTGGATCGACGCCAGCGGCCTGCGCACGCACTGTCCTGTCATTTTGCCGACGTTCAGACGAATGGTCGCTCAGGACGATGCTGGGAGCAATAATCGCGCAAGCGATGGTATTCGTCCGGAATACAGTGTGATGCAGCTGCCCCCCGTAGCTCTGAGGCCGCTCCGGTTGTGGTTGGCCTGGGTACGGCGGGTGAGCTTTTCTTTCAACTCCATATAACTGCTTTTGTTGATGCGAGTTAGCATGTATGCACAATCAATTGTGACATAGAGGCTCTCATCGGTGTGTAGCATGAAGCTGGAGGTGGATCTGGCTTCACTAGCGGCTGAAGGCAATATCGAATGGCGGTTAGGTCCCTCGCATGTCGGAGAAGTTCTCTCTGGTGCGCGTGAAGGTGAGCCTATACTTGAAAATTGTGGTTAAACTCTCATCATAACAGATAGATATCCTCTGGCCTTGTGCAAGCAAATGTCGATCCTTGCTCTATCTGATTTACCAATCGGTCTAACGTCCAGAACTGTTTTATAATCTCATACTCTGGTCAGTTTGTGCCTTTACCTTGGGAAAAGACGGATGCTCGCGCGAGCGGTCACCTGTATACTTCGAATCTTCGAACATTCTTCGCTTCTATCATCTTCCTGTAAGAATAGTTCCAATCTTTTTAGGGGCACCAGAAGTAGGTAAGGTCTGCTCCTTCTCCAGTGCTTGCTTATAGTTTATACTCATAAGTGTATGCTAGAGCAGGAAATGCATACATAAATGGCCAACTAGCCGCCCAAGGCGTGCTCAATGCGTATACGCATAAACGACACACCGCGAGGCGATTCATATACCATAGACCGTTCTGCCAGATGAATCTGGCGATGGGATGCCTATATACCTGATGCATAGGCTTTCAACGAGCTCAGGCGTATATTTAGGCCGTGCCGCGCTCTGCTCCGTCGACTCTCTTCTTTTATGTCCGTCTCCTCGTCGTCTGTCAGTGGATACAGCCTGCCCGCGCTCGCGCAGAGCCCTCTTAGTCTGCCTATTCCTCCGTGGGATGCACTGAATGCGACGGTCGGCGGGCGCCTGCACCGCGGCGAGCCGTACGCGAAGGCGTGCTTTGCGAGTTATAACGGTGTGGCAGTCGGGTGGGACGTGGAGGTGTGCAAGAAAGTCCAGAGCGAATACTTTGATGCCCATCGTGCGTGATATCTGCATGTCCGACTAGCGATTTTACATCGACGCATGCAGTACCGCGGGCTGATCGGTTTGGGGGGTATGCAAGTGTGAGTGGTACCACGTTGGTATTCGGGCAGTGGCATGCTGACCTCGAACTTATGCAGACGCAGTTCGAGATGTGCATGGCGACGGGGGAGCACTGCCATCTCGACTGGCTGGACCCAGCGAATCCGCGGGCTTTTGCGGCGGGGCGGGAGTGCAGGCAGGGGAGCGTTGCGCCGTTTTATGTGCGTTGTATTGTGAGGCGCATTTCTTTGATTCGCTCACGATTCCGCGCTAGATTGATGTGCGCGGTGCGGATGATGTGATTGCGGCGTATGAGTTCAGCAAGAGGGAGGGTGTGGCGCTTACGATCAAGAATACGGGGGTATGCTTTGTATACTGCCCCTGTGTGGACTTTGTTCGGGCTGATCGTGGTCGGTCTTGATGCAGCATGATTTTGTTGGGCGCAGCTCAGGCCCTGACTCGCTGTCGTTATGGGTATGTCCTTCAGGACTGCATTCATTGAATGGTTTTTTCTGATATTGCTGTAGGTGCATAACATGAAATATGTACGACCGCATTCCGACATGTGGGTGTGCGATGCTAACGTTATTTCGTAGATTACGCATGATACGAATTTCGTCGCGGAACGTTGTGATATGGCTCAGGCGGGCGACTCTGTGCTAACATTCGGGGTACGCACATCCTTTCAGAACGGGTTGCAGTATTTACCGATGTCCGATAATCCAGGCCGGCATCCAATTTGACGATATACTCCAATTTACGGACGAACGAGACTTGCAGTTTGTGGGAGGCTCTGATCAATCTGTTGGTGCTGCGGGTGGGTGGACTCAGGTGACTTCTCATCGTCTATTCTATTCTATATCTTCCAATTAATTGCTTCAAAGGGTGGCGGGCACTCGCCTTTAACACCGAGTTATGGGATGGGTGCCGACCGGACAGTGCGCTCTTCCATTCCACCGTGAATGATGCGCCAGCTGATGATCTCTCGCGATGCAGTTGCAATACAAGATCGTCACTCCCGACGGGGTGTTCCGCACGGTCAATGCCTGCCAAAACCAAGATTTGTTCTTTGCACTGCGCGGCGGAGGCGGGGGAACCTTTGGCGTTGTCCTCGAGGCTACGATGCTTGTTTCTCCAAAAGAATCGTTCTGGATGTAAGCCTTATGTTCCATATCGATCTGGGTTTTGGTTTGAATGTTGAGTAACAGGGCGAATATCAACTGGCCGGTGGATAGTGAAAACCTCAAGTTTGTGCTGGGGCTATTTTTGGATAATATCACAGCGTTCGCCGAAAATGGATGGGGAGGATACCTTACAGTGCGTTGATCATATCTGCTTTCATTCTTCTGCTGTAACATGCTGGTCTCTAGCCTTCCCTGGGTAACCTGATTCTTATTGCACCTTCGAAACGGGTCGAGGAGGCTACTGCGGTAGAGGACATCCATCCACTAATTGATTTGACTATGAACCTCGGAGGAAAGTCTGCTGTGAGCGAAATCCCTACATACAACACTTGGTTTCGTGGGTGGGTAAACGGAACTCTTGGCTCGCAAGATGTTCGTTTTCGATTGAACCGTGAGATCTGTCTGAGTCTGACCGCCTCCCAACTCATAGCCGATCGGACTTCCCATAGTCCTCACGAGCCGCTTGATCCCCGCTCAGAACCACGAGACGGCGGAGGGACGACAGGAGCTGCTCGACGCTCTCTTGTCGGCGTTTGACAACTCGGCGTTCGCGCAGGTGCATATTACGACGCCGTACGGTTTCAAGGGAGAAAGCGGGGTGGATACGAGTGTGAATCCGATCTGGAAGGACGCTCTGTACCAGGTAAGTACCTCGTCGTGGTGCTTTGAGATGTTTCCATGAACGATGAGTATTTGCAGGTCATCCTTGTCAATAGCTGGTTCTGGGACTCGAAGCCGGAGGACCGGCAGCAGGCGTTTGACGCGTCGACTAAGGCCGTTAATTTCCTACGCGAAATCACGCCGGCGTCAGGAGCGTATGTTGTGAGTAACCTGTCTGAATTTAACATGAAAGTGGATTTACTTATTGGCGTGTATGTAGAATGAAGCCGATGTTTATGAACCTAATTGGCAGGGTACGATATTTATTAGAGTCCTTCGTGCAATGGAAAACTCACACACTTATTGATCCGCCAGAATCTTTTTGGGGAGAGCATTATCCGCGCCTTTTGGACATCAAAGAAAAATAGTAAGTAACCTCGTCCATTTTCTTTCGTTTCTAATGCTGATAGAGATATTCATTCAGCGATCCAAATCACCTCCTCGATTGCTGGCATTGTGGTGAGTGCCGTCATAGCAATTTTCACGCCAAACGTGTATAGTGTTGACCGTAAACATCTCATATTTTGTAGTCGGTTGGAAAGGCGCGGAAGATCCTCGTTTCAAATGTTACTTGTGATACCGAATGATCGACGGCGCGCGATGGGCGCTACACGATGTCACTTTATATGGGTTAGATGGCCGAGCGGTCTAAGGCGCCAGACTAAGGATCAGAGCAATTACTGCTCACCATTGACCAACGTTCATTCGTTGAGTTATCTGGTCCTCCGGGGCGTGGGTTCGAATCCCACTCTAATCAAATCTTTTGCTTTTTGCTCAGATTGAAAAGTCTAAAGAGGGCCGAGGCTGAACAGTGAAGTTGAACTTTGATGATTTATGAATCGTCGATCGAGAATCGAGATAACCTTTTTTTCAAGTTCTTGTTGGAACTTGGGCGCCTGTTTGAGCTCTTACTCCCTTGGTGGTTAATGATAGATTTGCGCGTCGTCAACCAGCGCTTCGTCAATTATTCACATCTTTCCTCCTGAGGCCTGAGCACTTGAGTCCTCGTTGATTGACAACAGTACAATCCGAAGTTGACGCAGTAAGAACACGTTATTTAAAATAGTATAGCAAAGAATGAAATGCCTTTGGTGGCACAAGCATTGCTTGACCAGGAAAGAAGTGTATGTGTGCAAGCAAAAATTAGCTGCAAGTAGTAGACTCGAAGCAGATTTGCAGCTTGAAGATGATTTTATTTTGGTACTACTGTACATGTACAACTATCTGTTACACTGACAACTTGTAAATGTATGATTCACTTGTCATTTCAGACCTCAGGACGGATAAGTGAAAATTAACTCATAGACAATAATCGGAGCGCCAAAGTAGAGGCAGTGGTATCCGGAAAGTTGTATTTGGACAATTTTCGGAGGAGACTTGAGATGTTACGATGATGGTGCATCCTGCCCCCAGAAATTATCATGGTCCCATACCCCTTGCATGGATTCCGCCGAGCTTAAGAAGACAGGGTTGTTGGATGTCAAATTGATACCATCGAGTTTTAGAGCCGCCTGGAGATGTCGTGCAAGAATAACATCTGGGGCCAATAGGGTGTTGAATGCGAGCTCAGAAATACCTTGACTCGATTTTTTGACCACTGATTCCCGCAAGCCAATGCCGACTGTCCCTGCAATATCACCCCCTTCGTCGATTTCTAGACCCGACGCCTCCGGTGGAGCTTCCGCACTGTTCATCGTTTCTTGTTGGAATTGAGTGTCTGACGGATAGACGAGAAGTTGTATATTTCCACAAATATCTTCCTCCGCAAGAGCAAGTCGGATGTCATAGGAGATTTGACACAAATTTGCTATTTTCGGGAGGATAGTTTTGAGGCCATAATCAGAATTCAGTCCCCATTCTGGAGTCGGTAAAATTTGGAGAAGGTCGTCCAGGATTTCTTGGGACCATGTCCGCAGATCGGGGGGTACCGTCCCATTAGACACCATCTGGACGAGTTGAAATGGCATCTTACTACCTTCTGATCTTTTTCCTGAGTGAGAAAGTGTCAAATAACAGCGAGCAAGAATCGATACTGAACTAACCATGGTATGAACCTACCAATTGCGACATCAACAATTCTGAAAACGATTGCTGTTTTGGATACCAAGCCTCGATGATCGCACGACACCAGTCGACTAAGAACATCTGGATAACGGAATGGAGGAACCAAGGATGGTCGTATCCACTCTTCAGCATGGCGCACCTCCTCAGCAGGGTGGAAGTTACCCAGTGCCCGAATACCATTTTGCATCGCTTTATGTTCGGGGACCAGCCTTGTGTAGGTGGAGATCCCAGGAAAAACGGTACTATCAGCGAAGCGACGTCGGATATCATCTTGTTGAGTCGTTCGATCGCTTGCAAAGCTTCCTGACTGGGGGTCTGGGGTTTAGTGTTGTTGCCTCTTCGTATTCTAGATTGGCTGTCCGCCCCAGTTTTGGGGTCAAGCTTTGACGCTGCGATATGATTTAGCATCCGAACGCGTCGCTCAGCTGAGATGGTGGTATATCGTAGCGTGTCCATGCGGCCTTGCCAGACTCTCTTTTCCTCCTTCAAGGAATTGAAGTCGGCCCGAAGCTTGCCAAGGGCGGATAATCGAGACGAAAGAGCTGTATCCAATTCACTGACTCTTTCCTGCAGCTTTTTTTGTTCCTCTCGCAACGGTCGAACTTCCTGATGCAGGGCTACCGAAAATTTGCGATGTTTCTCCGTAAGTTCGTCGGATTTAGCCTTCTCTGTTGTCAAATGTGTGATTTTTGATTCGGCCTTCGTCAGGTTCAATCTGAGTCGTCCACAGTGACGATCGCTATCATCTAGCTTCTTTGTGAGCGTTGCCGTCAGGGTTTCTGAGTCCCGAAGTTGTGAGAGCGTTTTCTCATGTTTGGAGACATATCCCTCCAATTCCAGACGTACTGCATCGAGATTCTCTTGAAGCTTCTTGGTCGCACTCTCATGGAATATCTTGTGTTTTTGATTTACATTGGCCAGCTTATCGCGGAACGTTTTGTTTTCTTCGTCTAAGCGGTGGGCATGCTGCGACAGTCCAAAACGTTTCCTCATGAAGCTGGAGAACTGTAACTTCGTTTCTTCTAGCACAGAACGCACCCTCGCAGCTTCGCTATTAGCCAGGTCAGCAATGTCATGAAGCCGTTTGTTCTCTGCAACCAGCAGATCAAGTTTTGCTCGTGTTTTAACCAACTTATCGGTGGTTTCGTGGTGTTTGTGACTAGATTCCGCATCGGCGAGGAGAGTCTCGAATTGGGATAGGCTTATGGTGAAGGTAGAGTCGTCCGATATCCACCCACTAGCTATCAACTCGGCATCCGGCTGCGATACAACGAGTATCTGGACAGCGTTTGAAAGCGAAGGGCTACGAGATATAAGGTATCGCAATTTCTCTATACCGACCTTGCTTGAGTCTGAATTAGATTTCTGGTGAGCCTGGTTCCTCATAGCAGTATACATCAGAACGCACTCAGTGTATCTGGACTCAAGGGAGCTTGAAGTGACGGTTGGCGCCCAAGAATGGGAGAATTCAAGCCCGCTCCTTTCCCTGGGCCCACGCTTTCATGATTGGTCCTGGGTAGTTCGTCCAATGCTAGAAGTTGATCAATAGACTGGACTTGAGGCGCTTTCTCTGGGTCCCCGGCATCGTCGCCTGCAGAGCTCGCCGCTTTTTTTGAAGATCTGAAGCCGCTGAGAGCACGATGGAATGTATGGCGGGGCATATGAGAGTAAGGCCAATAGAATGGGTCATGTCGTAATGGTCGTTATTATCGTACAAGATGGCGCAGTGTGCGAACTGCACTGCACTGCACGTCAACCGTACATCATTTGTTTTCGTGCCCGCATCAACACCAAATCAAATTTGATGTTGATGCTGACCGTTGAAAGCAAGTTGAAAGCAACGTTCATCGACTCTTCGGGGAGAACACACTTTATTAGGTGTGTCAGAGCAACTCTCGTTAAGGGCCATTACCAAAAAAATCTGCTTTGTTCTTTGGATCTCAGGTTTGCCCAGATGATTAAATTTTGCCCTTTAAACTATTCTACGAATAGGTGGTGGAAGTATATAAACAGGCAGGTCAAAACGAGACAAGTAATATGACATATCGATTGAGGAGAACGAATGAGCTGAGAATCAGCAGGGACTGGTGGGGTTGGCAGGTTCGAGGCAGAAGAGCTATCACCTAGACTCACCGAGGCTTGGATATCGCGAGCCAGAATGACACTAGGAGCTAGCAAGGTCCTATATTTGAGCAACGAAATACCCTCTTTCGACTTTTCAACCTTAACTTCGCGCAGGCCTATACCAATCGTCCCGGAGATATCCCCTACTTGGTCCACAGCATTTCTGTTCAGAACCTCTGGCGGGCCGCCGACAACTTGTGGCAAATTCATTTCATCTCGCCCAAACGGTGTGTCTGGCGGATAGATTAATAGTTGTAGATTTCCGCATACGTCTTCCTCAGCGAGGGCAAGTCGGATGTTGTAAGATATCTGGCATACCTGCATCAGCTTGGGTAGGATAATTTGGCCACGAGAGTAAGAGGTAAGTCCTGGAGCCGGGGAAGGTAGAATGTATAGAAGATCACGCAAGACTTCCTCCGCCCAGGTATGTAGATCGGGAGATACTGCCCCGTTAGACGTCCTTTGAAGAAGTTGAAACGACACTGCTCCAGGCGCACTACCTGAGGAAAAAATCGAGCCAGTTGAATGGTGATCAGGAATTCATCCACATAGCATTGAAATTTTGACATACCTCTTCTGTATGAGATTAATTCCGACATCAATAGCTCTGAGAAAGACCTTTGTTGGGGGTACCAGGCCTCAATAATTGCTCGACACCAATCGACCAAGAACACCTGGATAACAGAACGAAGAAACCAAGGCTGATCGCATCCTCCACGCAACAGGACCGAGGTGGCCCAATCGCCCAATATCATCTTGCATCGTTTGATATTTGCTTCGAGAGGGATAGCTGTCAAGAAGTGCGGCATAAGTGCAGATGCAACATCGGCGATTGTCACATTGAGCTGGTCGACTGTTTGCACGACCTCTTGGCTTGGCGACCGGGACGTTTTCTTTCGACCTCGTCGTATATTGGGACGGTGAAGACCATCCGGCCGAACGTCAAGATTTCGCCCTGCGAGATGGTTTAGCATGCGAGTGCGTCGATCAGCTGCGAGTACGGTCTGGCTCAGCGTATCTATACGGCCTTGCCAGATATCCTTCTGCTTGCTCAACAAATCGAAATCATTCTTGAGTTTCTCGAGAGTGGGACGCTGAGACGCGAGAGTTGCTTCTAATTCATCCACTTTATTCTGGCATAGTCTCCGCTCCGTTTCCAATGCGACATGCTTTTCCGTCAGCTTGTCGAATTTAGCCTTCTCTCCGGACAAGTATTCAGTCTTTGATTTGACCGCTGCGAGGTTGGTTTCAAGGCCCTTGACACGGCGATAATTATCCTCCAGCTTTTCCTTGAAGATCGCTGTTTCAATTTGTGACTCGTGAAGCTCCGAAAGTGTCGAATTATGCTCGGAAACTTTGTTTTCCAATGTCAAACAGACGTTCTTCAATTCTTCTTGAAGTTTGCTGATAGCATTCTCGTGGAATATCTTGTGATCTTGATGTACAATTGCCAATTGATCCTGTAGGCGTTTATTTTCCTCGTCCAAGCGATGGACGCGCTGCGACAGACTGAAACGCTCCTTCATAAAATTGGCGAACTGCAACTTCGTTTCTTCCAGAGTTGAATGT